AAATGAAAATAACTTTCAGACACATTTAGCACTTTTGTGAAGGGGAATACTTTTTCTTTTTGTTTAATGCTTATGTAGTTAATTACAATATAAGTTTGGAAAATGAAAATTGTTTTATAACACCTTCAATATTATTTTTTAATCATTAATTTAGACGATGAGTACTTTATATGTCACACAGCGGCGATCAAGTCTTCTTTCCCCCCCCCCCCCTCTATTTCTTTGTAATCAAGGGTCCGCTGTCCGCTTTCCGCGGTCACATACAGAATTCAACTTTATGTATTAGATTGGTACAAAAGGGGAAAAAGTCTGTCTGTCTGTCTAGATCGAAACGCTGAGCAAAATTTGGGGCACTTTTAACTGACCGATTCGTTTCAAAGTTGGCACGTGGATCAAGACATGATGTAAATGCAATCTGACATTAAATTTGACTTAATTGAATGCCTAATTAATTTTCTATCAATTAGTTTAACTTCTCTGAAATTATTATATGAGGCACCCGGGTGTTGTCTTGAGGGGTACTGACGAAACTAACCTGTCATACAATGCAGTAGCTTTTGTTTTATTAACTGACGAAACTAACCTGTCATACAATGCAGTAGCTTTTGTTTTATTAACTGACGAAACTAACCTGTCATACAATGCAGTAGCTTTTGTTTTGTTAACATTTTAGCCATGAAAACTATGGCGTGCCATATTGGGGCCCGGTTGAACGCTACGAATTGACCAATAAAGAGACGGATATGGAAAAAGGTAAACAGACGTTTGTTAACAGAATGCTTTATAATGCCTGTACATTTGCGTTTTATATTTGAAAGAATGTAAGTTTTAACCCAAGTCTGAGGTGAATGACTATATTGCAGATCCAGTGAGTGCTTCAGCTTCCATCGTGCTGGAAATATCTGAGCAGATGAGCCCCGAGTTGAGCAGACAGCTGCTGGATGACCTGGAGAACTTGACGGACGATGTTGCTGTGCCGGGCGTTGCTGGCAACCTCCTGACAGCCTCTAGTCTTATGATGGACGTCCTGCTACAGGACTCTGCAGGACACGTACTCCCGTCCGTAGATTCAGAGAGGTAGTTGATCTTTTATTCAACCTTCACATCAAAGTAATTTTCTCCAAGTTAAAAAAAATATATTTGAACACACTGAATTGAACCCTTATGAAAGTAAACCCTTATGAAAAATTAAAACCACATTATATCTACTTTTCTTTTAATTATTCCTTAATTTAAACCATCCAGTTGTAAAGTATATTGATTTTAGGCCTGAAATATTTCAATCAAAAAGAAAAATGTAACTTATTTAAACGCCGAAATTTTGACAATTTTCATCGTTTTACACCTCATTACTTCATCATATAGTGGACTTACTTTAATCGGACAAAAATAATAAATGCAGATTTCTCAAAAGTTCAGCGTTATATTAGTAACCTTGTCGACCAGAAGTAGTAATTTACGCTATTTCCGATTTCTAAAAAAAAAACCGCAAGATAATTTATAAAATACTTATAATATTCTGCTCTATTATACACAGATTGTGTGGCGTTCACTTGGTGCGCAATTATTTTTTCTACGAGATTCTATTCTATTTTAAAAAGTTTAAGTTATTAAAAATAAATTAAATATCGTGTCTATATCCCGAGTTGCAACCCCCGTAGTGTTATACAAGAATATTCGAGCATGTTTTAATGCATCATTTACCTTTTTAATATTGTATGTTAGATTTACAAAATTATTTTTTATAATGTTGGTTGAGACCAACGGTCAAAATAATCATTAAATAGATAATGTAACAATTTAAAAGCCAGAAGTCGCAAGTGGTTCTACACTCAAATTCTCTCATCATATCAATCAAACCTCGAATCAGTATGCCTTTCCTATGGACGCCATGTTTTTCTAAGGGATGACCTATTTGCAAAAGTCTCTCCCGGGAAACTATCTCGATCTGACCATTTAGAATACTCGACAAAAAGACAGATTAATCCCTTAGAAATTCGACAAAAGCACCAGGCTAAACCTTTAACAAACTCGACAAGAACATCAATTTTCGGGCAAGTTTCTATTCAGGCGTTTGTCGCATTTGGGCAAGTGTCCATTCGGGAAATCGGCCTTCGGGTAAACGGCATTCGGGCTAAATTTAATGGTATTTCACCCATAAACATTCTTTGAAAATTTGAAAAAAAAATATTTCTAGAGTGTTTTTTTTTGTTACAAAAACTAGCAAGCTGACTATTAGTATTAGTACAAAAAGGATCAATGATTATGTTAGTTTATGATGCTTGCAAATATTGCCCTTTAAGTACCCTAACTTAGATATACACAAATAAATCAATAACACGTTTTAATTAGGAAGTTTTTTTTTCTGGAGCCTGCCCCCTTAAGGGCAACCAGTAATATGCCCACTTCACAATACATTTTAAGGCATCCATATAGTTACAATGCCCATATTCATTTTGTATACTGTAACGGCATCTTGGAAGTAATTATGCTTATATTCATATAATTTATTCGAAGGGAATCCAACAGTAATTATACCCAGAGGCGTAGCGAGGGGGGGGGGGGGGCGAGGGTGCAGACCGCACCGGGTGACACCATTTAGGGGGGGGTGACACCAAGGCAAAAAATTGATAATTTCACGTAATTATTAATAATTAATTAGAGTGAATTAAATAGTCTTTTAAGATCAAAGTGGACAAATCCTGACACTGGTAGGGAGGGGGGGGGGGGGGGGGGGAGGGGGTGACACCATGACGTAAACCTGCTAATGATAGAGGAAACATGCTACATTCAGCTGTATTTACAACCAATTATAAAAATCATTAGCATTATCTGTGCACAGTTTAAAACAATCACCGTTGAGGTGATGGGGGGGGGGGGGGGGGGGGGGAGGGGAAGGGGGGTTGGTAGTTACATTAACTCAACGTTGCAAAATATGCCTGAGGAAAACGGTTTGGGTGAGAATCGCGGGATGGGAGGGGGGGGGGGGATTAAATACACCCAGAAGAAAAAAAATGGAATACATATACACATGAGTATACACATACTTACAACTGTATAATGAATATATATATATATATATATATATATATATATATATATATATATATATATATATACATACACATAATTTCTTTTTCTTAAGGGAGGGGGGGGGGGATGGTTGGCACCATTAGGTGCCGCACCGGGTGACACAAAACCTCGCTACGCCACTGATTATAACCACCATCATTGTGTCTAACGTTGGGGGCATCTCTAAAGCTTTTTTGTACATGTTTACTATAATACACTTTAAGGCATCGAACGGGTAATTATGCCCGTATTATTGTTATACATTTTTGGGGCATCTTTGGTGAAATATACGGCCATTTGTAGTGTCATAACGCCCATACTGTTTATGTTAAATTGTAGGGGCATTGAAATTTAGAATGTATTCATTTTGATGCATTTTATGAGCATACTTAAGAATAAGAAAGCACATACTGTAAGGACTTCCTCAAGATTAAACATCAACATATTGTTTTTGATACATTGTAGTAATATAGTTCAGAGCAGTGGCGGAACTAGAAAAAATGGGCCACCCCGCAAAAAAAATTTTCGGGCCCCCCATATATGTATGTATATATATATATATATATATATATATATATATATATATATATATATATATATATATATATAAACACACAATACGAACATAGGATACTCATTTCTGGCCTGATCGGGTTTTGAAAAAAAAAATTCAATTAAATCTAATCACAACAACATGTCATGTGTATCAGTGGCGGAACTAGAAAAAAAGCCCCCCCCCCCCCCCCGAAGAATTTTTTTGGGGCCCTATATATATATATATATATATATATATATATATATATATATATATATATATATATATATATATATATATATATATATATATATATATATATATATATATATATATATATATATATATATATATATATACACACATATATATATATATATATATATATATATATATATATATATATATATATATATATATATATATATATATATATATATATATATATATATATATATATATAACAAGGTTCGCTCTCAATTTTAAAAAAATTCCATCTGGTACACGAATAAATCAGAGGTTTTCCAACACACGAGCTGGCCCCTTTATAAATCTAGTCCAACACACCAAACTGAGGCTTTCATCAAAACGTTACTAACCGTGTGCCCTGTTTTCCAGAAGTTGAATTAAATGTTAACAATGTCGGCAGTTCATTTCTTGGATCTTAGGGCGCGGGTTTGTCCACACTACCAACTAGACACGCCAAGGCATGCTGTAAATCCCTCGGCGACGGCCCAGGTGTCAGGGGAGTCACGGGGCTCTTGGAGCTACCGGTTACATTACTGCACGGGTGATGGGTGTGACACATTGTTTCTTCCGGCAGAGCTCCCCCCCCCTCCCCTCCCCCAAAAATAGTCTACCCTGGAAGAAACATTGGTGCGAGACCTAATTAGATTTAGTCATCGAGTGTAGTAGCGAGACTTATTCCTAGTGCTGTGGGAACTTTTAAACGACTGTCTGTGGGGGGCCAACTTGCTCATATGTGATGCGCTCAGGATGACACTGCCGCCGGTTGTATTCAAGTAGTAACCTCATCCGCTTATGCAGGATCACGGGGCGCTAAATCATATATTTCCGTTAGGAGTCCCCACTCAAATATGTACAAATGTTAGGCCTATGACAAAAACCTTTGCGGGGCTGTACTCAACAGCTTCCCAAGTTTTCATGGCGATTGGGTGAATGATGCAGTAATGCATAATAATAATAGAGAGAAAAATGTTTTTCACATGTACAACTGTATGTGGCCAGGTCACGCGTTGGATAACCTTCTGATTTAGGGGAGGGGGGGGGGGGGATTAACAAAAAGCCAGACCCTCACACACCCCCACCTCAATGACTATTAATAATGTTCAATTAATTCTAAACGTTCTAATTAATTTCTAAATAATTATATAAAAAATAATCTTACCTGCCCTGTTTTGTGAATTAGATGTGCCTAATACTATGAAAGTAAATTAATGTGTTGACTAGATCTAGTGCTGTCTAGTGTCTGACAAAATGTGCTGAAGTGGTGAATCGTACGGTTAGGAAGTAGTTCATAAACGATACATTTATCTCCTCGATACTTGTGAGGTTGAGAAAGAGGGATGGGATAGGGGTCGGCTCGGGAAAAAACTTGAAAGGGACAACAAAAAGCCTTGATCTATGTACGCCAGTATCGCCCATTGTAAAACTTACTCAGGGGAGATAATTTGAAGTATAGGCCTTAAAAGTTTACTATATTTCTTGTAAAATAAAAAACAAGTAAACGTATATAAAACTGAAGTTTCTAGTATTATATTTTTTAAAATTATTTGTACGATACAAGATAGTACAGGATACAAATTCAACCACTATCACAAACACATATTAACATTGAAAAATGTACAATAAGAACCGCGCATCATGAAAGTATTGAAAGCCCACTTCATATGTAGCGGCTTTTCGTGCTATGGACTTTGTTGTTCTTTTAAAAAGAATTTTGCCGGCGACAGCGTGTGTTTGATTGTAGGGAAATAGAACTCGGCCATGACGATGGTTAAAAAATACAACTATAAATAACTGTTTTAAATATGTAAAGAAATTGTCGACAATTTTTTAACCCCCTTTTTGGTCCCCATCCCCTGCCCCATCCGCCACAGTATACTTTGGAGGATCGGTCAAACAGTTACGTGTCCTCTATTTAGCTATCAAAGGGAGGGGGGGGGGCAACGAGTCAAAGAAGTCATTCAAAATTTGAAGAGTTGCCTATATTTTACACTGTAGTTTGTGTAATGGATTTTATCTTTTGCGGAAGAGCGTGGTATAGTGACTGTGAAATAAAGATAATCGTACCGCAGCTACAGTGTTTTTCTTTTACAAACCAAATATTAAGGCAAAAATTAAATTAAAAAATTAAAAAAAAAAAATTTGGTCAGCCGTGGGCCCCTAAACGGCCTTCCCCCCCCCCCCCCCCCCGCGCATTGCGGGGTCTGGCGGGACTGTAGTTCCG